AAAATTATATATATATATATATCAAATCAAGTTATTCTCTCTCTATATATATATTATAAATTCAAACATTTATTTATATATGTAACTTATTATAATTTTTAATTACATATAATAAATATTTAGCTTGAGCATTTCATAAGCTAAAATACTAGTTTAAAATGAAATATGATATATATATATATATATATTATAACATGTTTATTTGTTATAATTTTGACTATTATATAATTTATATATTAAATATTTATTCATTATAAATTTATATAAATAATAAAATTTATTCGATATACAAAACTTTGATGCATCATATTCTTGCATGGCATCATATTATTGGTTTAGAGAGATTTTATTGCTAACAAGCAACGATTTGAATTTAGAACAATATCTTCTTTTATTTAATTTTAAAAAGTTAGGGTGGGGGTAAGGGGGTTGTTTATACAGAGCAATAAGTCTTATGTAACTAACGATCACTTTTGAATTGGCTAGACGGCTTTATTATATAACACATAGTATTGTATAAAGTTATCGTCATCAATCTTTTTAATCTTATTCAATCTGTCGTATTCCTCAATCATGAGTTGATCATAGCACATAATAGAATCAAATAATGTCATCAAAGACACATGTAGTTTGATTAGGGAGCAAAAGATATTTAGTAAATGCACTTAAACACCCAGTTTGATAATCATTAAAGTTAGCCTAATAGTTGGGTAGAAAGAGGTTAGAGTAGTTAGAAGCATGAAGACTTAGGTTCAATCCTTAATGCAACCATCTTTCTAATCATTCTTATCTTTAAAAAAAAAAAAAACTCACTTTGATTAACAAAGTCTTTATAGAGTTTTTAAGAATATTATCATTCTCATGTTCAGAATGTCAGGGGGGAGACTTTCTGAAAATATAGTCACTAATTGAATTATTATCAACTTTGTCTTTTCTTTTCAAATTTCAACTTTAATTACTTGTAGTTTTTTTTCCCTTTTATATTAATATTTTTCTTAGTAATTGATGTCAGTAATAATTTATAAATATCTTCATCTGTTAACTCATCGAGATATAAATATCTCAGATGCAGTTACTTTAAAAGATGAAAACAAGATAAATAATATATATATATATATTATTTTTTCTGTTCATTGATTGGTGTATCGGTTTCGTCGCTCTTTCATCACCTTCGCGATCTTCTTCTTCGTTCACTAGCCATAACAAATTATACAAGTAATGATACAAACTTTAAGTCTAATATAAAACATTAAGGTGTTAAGTGCATATTGTATAATTTTTTCCTACTATTATATTACCCAACTTGTTTATTTTTACCAAACGTGAAACATTTTTAATCACACTTCAGGGTTGTTATATCATACTTCTTTTAATTTTTAAAGTCAAAATTTCTTCCAATACCAAAGTTTTACAGGAATCACCTCAGTTAAAAGTGCAAAAAAAAATTGAAATTAAGATTCCCCTGTGCCCTGCAAGATAATAATAGTCGGCATATAATGATTCTTCATCCTTTCGACAAGTTCAGGGAGAATAATTAGAAACTATTCCATAAGTTGTGCTATATGAAAATACATCCTTTTTAGAGCTTTAGGCACGCCTACACTTTTATTAGGATAATTTGATTACAAGCCGTTGAAACTTGAAAGTTTATTGCAAATTTAGAACTATATTTTATGTTCCTTCTGAGCATCCATCTTATTAGTCTTTTTAAAGGGCAATTAGAAAAGTCTTTTTGTTTCTTCGTTCTTATCAATATTATTATTTAATATTATTTGACAAACTGAATAATTCTTGGTACTTAGAGGAGGCCAACCTTGGGCCATGCGTGACAATTTTTTTTTATCCCCATTGAAATTTGTGGGTTTAGTTTTTCAACCATTTTTTTTTTGTTAATGAAAGTGTAATCTGGCAAAAGGACTTCTGTGGGGTATATTACTTATTAGTTAAATATTGTTCTGTTTATATATTGAAGAACCGCTTTGTCGAATTCTCAACAATAATTGTGATTCCTTGTTGATCTCATCCAGTCATTAATTGATTTAATTATCGGAAATTCGGAACAATAATGCAACACAAACATACGCGGTTGGGAATTTCTTCACCAACACTGTTGTACCTTTGTCTTGTCTCACTAGGATTCCTGTGTTCCTTGAAAAACTAATTTGGGATTGTTTTCTTAGTCAATGACTTGTTTTGATTTGGTATATGCCTCATTGAAGGGACACTACCTACTCGAAGATATACATGGGGACTCCTCAGATTCCATTTTTAAAATCCAGTATCAAACATGATCGTCCTTCATCTCTGGAATAAGTTAGGCATACATGTGCCTATGCCAACTAATTTATTACCTAAGGTCTTTCATTTTAATACGCTTCAATTCATTCTTGATCCTCATAGCATGACTAATGTGCAATTAAGATATCTAAAAATTTTATTGCACATTTTGTTTGCCATATAATTGTATCATCGTTAATTTGAGATGTGAAAAGGTTAAACAGAAAATACTGAGGTATCTATTTCATATCAGATAAGATGTGATAATGGATTATTTTAAGAATTAGGAATTACCATTTCGTTTACTTGGTCATAAATTAGTCAGTGAAAAATAATTCCATAGAAGAGGGGATTTGTTTTATCACTTCAGAACAAAAAGTCATTCGTTAAAATCAACTAAAATCTATATTTTATAGTATCAATTATTCAACTCCGATCACTGTAAGTTAATCCAACCCACATACGAAATATGAACTAGTGCAATAGAAATTGATCCTCTGTGCTTAACCATTGGAAATCATCCAAATTAAATTGCTAACGGGCAAGTACAGTCCAAATCATACATTTGATTTTGTTGTAATATTGTATTCAATAAAGATGATGTTATCATTTTGTTGAGCAAAAGGTTTTTCATGTCAATATGCAGTTATAAGCAAATGCATTGCCTAAGTGTTAAACATGATCTCGCTTGAACAGCCTTTAAGCCAAATTGCTGCACCCATTTCACCCAAGTTGTTTTTATCCTGATGCATGGTTTCCATCATTAATGCAATCCTATCCTGTTATCTGCCAAATTTGTACAAACGTTCCTTTTGCAATAATGCAAGTGTAGTGAGGACAATTTTCTCCTATTGCAATTTCAGCAGCACGGACTATGGACTCTTCAAGCTTACCTGATTCAGTACTGTTGCTGGCATTTATTTCATCAACTGCATACATAATCAGCCACAGAAAGAGGATAGAACCAGGTTTCTTAACTGCATTAAGTTTTTAATAAAAACTTGACTCTGTATCCAAGAATAAAAAATACGTATTTTGATGACTTTTCTTTATATTATCTTTTTTGTTTTTCCTATTCTTGGTCTTTGTTTTGGTTATACTCCTTTAAATTTACTTGTGTATTTTGGTCTGTTATTTTTTTTTCTCATTTGCCATATTTTCCCAAAAACTAATCTAACTCAACTGTATCTTATCCAATTCAACTGTGGACAACGGTTAAAAGAACAGTGAACATGCAAGCAGAAGCAGCATCAACAGAAACAGAATTCTTGGGCATTTAGTGCCTTATTTTAAATTGAATTATGCAGCACCTGAAATTTGAATAGGTAGATGCAAAACTTCGATAATGAAAAAGATCAAAATCCATTATCTAAAAGCATATTTACTTGCATGGTGTTGAGTTTAATTACTAAAGTGTATTTTAGGTATTGTGTGTAAAACACGTTTAGACAAAAATATCTAGTAGAAATTCATCTTATTATTGCATCATATTAATAAATGAAATGATGAGGTGAGAATCAAAAACTAATTCTAAAAAAAATCATATTCACAATGCATATAAATTATTTTTTTTAGAATTTTTAATATAAAATATTTTTATACAGACATATAATAGAAGTTTATCATCAAATCATATTAATAAATGAAACAAATAAATCTCGTTAGATGTATTTGTAAAAAAAATTTACTCGTTAAAATATATATTATTTTTTAAACATTATTAAATATTTCATATTGACTAATGAGGTAGTTAAAATAATATATAGTAGTGGAAACAATTTTTATTTTACAAATTGATTTTATGTTTAAAGTCATTTTAAGAGATATGAATTTGAAGGGTAAAAAGATGAATATTTTTGCATGCTTAGCACGTTTCATTGTATTTATAAGTTACAACTGGTTACACTTAAAAACAATGTAATGATTGATGATCAAGTTTTATCCTATGCGTTAGAGAATGTGTCGGCACGAGACAGATGTTGACTTGAATAATCCCAAGTTATTTGGTGCACTGCCTCAATGAATAGTATTCTCCATAGCCTCACTACCATTCAATCTACATGGCTAGAGAACAAAATCAAGTTTCATCAGTTAGATTAATTTATGCTGTAGGTGAAGACTGAACACTCTTCACTTCTTTAACGAATTCACGCCCTTCACATAAAGTAAGACTTTCATATTTGTTTAATATAGGCAATTTGAATGCAAAAACAAACTCCATCAATATTGTACCAAAAAATAAACCGTGTAACTTTTGGACATACGATCTAGTAAAGTTGACGAAGGATGTGGAAATGTAGCAAATAATGATGCCATAAGTTCCAACATTTTCCAAATTGGCATCCTTTGAGTCTGTAAAGGTGAATTCCAGCAAGGTAGAACAGATTTTCAACCCTTTGGGGCAAGACAATTTTTTTTTTTTATTCAATAGAAGTTTCTTCGTTTATACATTTATTTTGTTATTTCAACGCTTGTTGTGAATAAGTAATGAAAAAAATTAAAAAAATGCATAAGCACGACTATTTCCTGGCATTTTTATATATAAGTATGTTTGTGCACTGTTTCCATACCAACTATTTTTCCCTCCTTCTCTTATAGTCTGCTTTTAGAGAATCAAAGCCTACCATTGAAGTGATATTCCGTGAGGCGAAGTAAAATGGGGTGCCAGCCATTGGAAAAGGCAAAACCTAAACATAAGAAGGGTTTATGGTCACCTGAAGAAGACAATAAGCTCAGAAACTACATCCTTAAGCATGGTCATGGATGCTGGAGTTCTGTCCCCATTAAGGCAGGTTGGTTTAATTTCTTTCTTAATCCCTGTTTGTGATCTTTTGTCAATCATATCACAGTGACCATATTCCTAGTATGTACTAGACAAAGGGGCATTATTGCATAATCTTAATACTGTTATATAATTAAATGAAGACATCCTTGGTTTTTTTTTTTTTTTTGAAGAGTTCATGTTTCTCTTCTTTGATTTGAAAGTTGCCTACAACTTATTTGAACTCAGATTATGTTGTCAATGGGAAATGTGGGCATGTTTCACTGATTTTAACATCAATAAATTGGAGATACCTTATAAGCTTTCCTTTTCCCTTTATTTGAATTTATTCTAATAAATTTGTCCAATAAATTATGGTAAGAAAAGGTTGTATTGATTAGGAAAGTAATATTTGTACGAAGAGGTGTTTGTGGCACGATAAGAGCTAGAGAAAAAAATTCATAAATAAGCACTGACAATATAAAACGCTTTTAACTAAAATATTAGTTTAAAAAAAATATAAAATTTGGATATGATTGGTTTTTAATTTGAATTTGAAAATCAATCCGATTCGATATTATTTGTTTTAGTTTTTGAATTGTTCAGTTTGTTTATAATGTTTTCTGATGATATTGATGGGGTAAATACATTGTGTACAGGCTTGCAAAGAAATGGAAAGAGCTGCAGACTAAGGTGGATTAACTATCTAAGGCCAGGATTAAAGAGAGGGAAATTCAGCAAACAGGAAGAGGAGACAATTCTGGCCCTTCACCACATGCTAGGCAACAAGTAAGCCACAAGAGTAAATCTTCTTCCACTTTATCAATTTTTATTAGTTTCAGTCTAAAATATTGATCTAGACTTGTCAGGAGTAGGTGTTATATGTTAATTATGCTTTAATTAGTGCAAAATGATTCAAATATATAGGAAAAAAACAATTTATCTAATTCAATGTTTGTGGCTTAAGCTAGAGAATGTAATTGGATTGGGAGTAGCTTCATATTTAATTCTATTATAGAAGCAACTGGGTCCTTTTCAAAACGAAAAATAAAAGAAAGAACTGGTAAGTAAGTCAAGCCATGAATTGCCTTCGATGACATGATCATTTTTTTAAAGGGGTGAACAATGAAAACAAAAAAAGTCTATGTTACTATTCCTCAATTCTGTATATTCAATTCAAGTCTGCCCCAACCCAATGTTATTTGTCCATTTTATAGTGCCCCTTCTTCAAATATTCTAATCACATAGCATCAAACATCAAACATTTACACATTGAAAATAAACTATTCACATAAAGAATGTGTGTATACTGAATAACATTAATTCACAGTTGCCATCCTTAAATATAGAATAGAATTCAGTAATATGGAGGGAAGGAATAAAATAAGAGAAAAGAAGATTGTCTCTCATAAGTGTAAAATAATTTTATATTAGCATCAAATTATAAATGATCATGTATGATAATTTTATTAATTTTTATAATTAATTTTATAAAAATCATATCAACAATGATTTCTAATTAATTTATAGTAGTAAATGATCATTAAATTCATAAAATAATTTTGTGTAAATTCTTTCCTTATATAATTTCTTCCCATTTTGATTAAAACAAGTTGAATATATTGACTAGGTGGTCACAGATATCACAGCATTTGCCAGGAAGGACAGACAATGAAATAAAAAACTACTGGCATTCATATTTGAAAAAGAGAATGGCCAAATCTAAGGAAATGGAATATGAAAACCAAATGAAGTATGGTAGCTCAAGCTCAGATACCATGGACTCTTCACATTCTTTCCAAAAACTTGCAACTCAAGGCCCTCAGAATTATGGCTTCAACAAAGAGGCTTGTCAAAGCTCATTACCAAAACTTTTATTTGCTGAGTGGCTTTCATTGGATCATGTAAATGGTGGGAACACAAATTCAGTTGACTCTTTGGGTTTGAGAAATGGATTTGATCAAAATTCAACTTTTCAAGAAGCTTCAATTCATGATATGTCAGAGGTACCCTTTGGTGGAGAGTATCATAGATGTGTAACCAACATTTCAGCCTCTGAGATGTTCAATTCACAGCTAAAGTATGCAAATCAAACGGTGGAAAATGGTTTCCTCCATTGTGTAACCGGGGTTGACTTATGTAGCAATTTCAGCGTGAGCAATGATGCAATAATGTACGTATGATTGAGAGCTAAGGCCTAAGAGTGAGGAATAATATTTTCTAATTATACATACTTAAAACAATCAAACTATAGCCATATAAAATAATAGTTCCATTTCAAGTTGTATGTACTATACTCCTACCCACTTCCAATGAGTTCAATGCCACCACACTTGATTAATTGTTATTGTTCCATGATTGTCATTGCATAAATATATGTAATTTCGTTTCAAATTAAGAAGTCAACTTCCAGAGGTCTTTAATGTTTTTACTGAAAATCTTTGCCATTGATTTAATTGCTATAAGCGTTAATGTGTATAAATTTGGTCGTGGTTTATAACAACTTTAATGTACTTAAATTTTTTTTCTTTTTTCTTTGGTAACCTCTAAGAGTGTCTTTAATGTGAAATTCATTAAAATAGTATTTGAAATTCTCCATCTAAATCCCAAAACATTTGAAAATTTTCATAATGTGTACAAATTTGGTCGCGGCTTGTAACCTTTTTTTTTTTTATAAAAATTCTTCATATATTTTCTTTCTTATCTCTTTTATCTCTTATGTTTCCTTTTATCTATCTTTTTCAATTTATTTTCTTAATTATTTAATATTCAAAAATCAATAATTTTTAATTATTAAATATTTAAAATTTGACTAATGTTTATTTTTATAAAATTTAATTTTAAAATCTTAATATATATATATATAATCAATTTTAATCATGGTAAAAATCAAATTATCATATCAAAATTAAGAATTTAAATTAAAAAAAATTGGAATAGAATTATTCAAATAAAATATTTTAAAAATGATAAAAAAAATTAAAATTAAATTAATTTAGATTTTAAAAATTTTAAATTCTTTAAATTTCTTAAAATTTTCATAGAAATAGATGATGGAAGTTAGAAGAGTGCCATTTTAAAATGTACTGTTCGAAGAGGATAGATTGAGGTGATAGGGGGTCCGTTTCAAATTCAACTCAACATGGTGCAGGCCCAATATCACAATTTAAATGCAACTTTTTTTTTGGCTTGTTGAGCAGTCAATGATGCCTCTATCATCTAGTCAAGAGGTATCGGTCAGATTTGGTTGAGCCCATAAATTTGAAAATTTAAACCAAATTAATTAAATTAGTCAATTGTTTTTTATTCTAAATTTGAGCTAAATAAATTATATTTATTTCAGCGTTCGACTTATTTTCTCTCTTATTTTGCTCATTTATTTGCATTTTTCTTCTCACTTATTTTGCATGTATAATTATTTATAATAACATTAAATCTCAAAACTTAGGTAGACGTATCTTTTTTACTTATACTACTTTACACATCAACGACACACATATTCTCCATATTTTTAGAGGGATTTTCAATATAAAAAATAATTTCATTATTGAATTTTTTGCCAATTTCATTATTCAAGATTCATACTTCTAGAAAGATTTTCAATACAAGGGATCATCTGCTATCAATTATGTTGGGTCAAACTTCAACTCTGATATCACTATTGGGTCAAAGTGTTTAAACACCTAGAAACATATCGATGAATTGTGAGTAAATTACATAAGTAAGTTTGACAATATAATTTAAAACTTTAAGACATTAAGTATGTGATTCTAATTCTAATCAATGTGAGGCTCAATTTAACTTATTTATTTGCATAATTTTTCCCCCACTTATTTTACATGTATGATTATTTATATTTTAATAATACATTATGATTATTTATATTTTAATAATAATTACACAATCTAACAAAATTTATATATAAAAAATTATGCGAATTTTTCCTCTCATTTTACAAAATGTCATAATTTTACCCCACATATTTAAACTATCATAACTAATATATTTTGGTGACAGTTATTCCTCTAAGCTACCATAATAAGATAATTTTGTGACATTATTCACCACAAACAACTTGTCTTATTTATGGCAGTTTAAATACGTGATGATAAAATTCGTGATATTTTAAATTGAGAAGTAAAACTCATAAAAAAAAATTTTAAAAGCAAAATTTGTAAAATTGTGTAACTTTACGATAAAAAGTACAAGTCTAATAACATAAAATAATATAATATTTTAAAACATTCCTTCATATATATATATATATATATATATATATTTTATTATTATTTTAATTTTCTTCAGTTTTAGTTGATGAAGTTATTATCATTAACCTTTTTGAGTCTACAGTGAGAGCTCCTGTAGCAGTCGATTGAACTTCTGAATTGTGTACGTGTAAATGCCAAATTATTACTATATTTACAAATCATTTAGTACATACTTAAATATCAACGCAACTCGTGCATCCACAAGTCAATGCACCAGTTCATTTAAAAAGGAAACATTTCACTTTCAAGCTAAAGAGGAGAAACACCGTCACAATGTATCTCTCCTTCTCTGTTTTTCCTGGATCATGTGTTGGGAAGAGATGGCAGTTGGTAACCCCATATCTTTATTTTTTTCCTCCAACATCGATTAATGTTGTTGTATCACTAATGGGCCATGACATTTCTTTAAGTCCTTGCAGTGTTGAAGTTTTATCGTATTAAATCATCATCTTTAGTCATGATCAGAGGGATTAATTGTCACCACCTTGAAATAATAAAGTCGTCAGTGAGGGCTAGGCTAGCCCACACAAGAGCCATCGAAGTAATTACAATGATCATAATAGGTGTCCATTTCAAAGCAATCACCTGTGCCCCAAAAGAATGAAATCATCAATTAATTAACATTTTTTTTTTCTTCTGCTTTCTTGTCTAGGAACTGGTGGAAAGAAAATTCAATTTTCAAGAATTAGTTTCTAATTTTCTATGAGAAAAAAGTAAATGCACCGAGAGACATTCAATCACAAATCACTATATAATCAATTTGTTAAATTTTACAATATAAATAACTATTTTTATTAGTTGATAGAGTAGAAAAAAATTTATAGTAAAAAGTACATTACAATTAAACTCGTTTTCTACTATAGCATACCTCAAGGCGTGGGGAACACCATATTGTGGATTCAGGTTGAGGAGTAGCTTGTAACCTTCTCACTATTTCTGTCATTACAAGATATTGCCGTGTGACCAAAAAAGTTGCATGACTTGTGTTTGCATTTTGTTCATGCTTCTTAGTGCAAACAATCAGAAGTATCAAGTTAAGGAGGGGGAATAATCTTACCTGAGTTTCTCTTTCTTTCTAAAATGTTGTAAATATCTTCAGTAGCAATATCTAAATCTTGTTTCCGGTTAGCTTTAAGTTTTGACAGGTTGGCCTGGGTTCTTGTATCAGTGTATTGTCTACTAAAGTTTGCAATTACACCATCTGACAATAGAGATTGTGATTAGTTTGACAAGGAAATATGGGGAAAGCAAAAAATTCACACAAAGAGGAAATGTTAGGGGGAAAAAAAAGTGAACCTCCATATCCATTTCCTAAGTTAGCAAACATTAACACCAAGTGCTAGACAATGAGATCATTCATTGTAGCAGACTAATGGTTTAAGGGAATTACCAAATTTGACAAAGCTGTATGGCCTTGTGATTTTGCCTATGAGGGTTTTATCAAATTTCTCAAACTCCTTTTGTATATCTTGTAGGTAATGGAAAGCCAGTTTTCTTGGGTACGTGGACTCACACAAGACAATGAAAACAACCCCGTTCTCCACCAAGTAACTTAATGCCACAAGAGTGTAATCACAATCAAATTTATTGCATTGCAATTCAAGAAACTAGAGAGGAAAAAGAAGAACCAAAAAAGGCAAGTTTCATTTATTTAAACACCGTGGTTTAAATGGAATGTTAATAGACTCAACACAAACTCGACTTTTTACATTTTCTTAAAGATTGGCCTGTGATAAAGGGTGCAAGTAAAAGAACAGAAAATTGCAAACATGACAACAACTTCATCGATAAAAGAACCAAAACTGAAACTTAAAGAACAGAAAAAAGATAAAGAAAAAAGGAAGGATACTTGAAGCAGAAATGATCAGCATGAATAGTCATCTTGGAAGCCATCAATGCCCCCCTTGAAATTTCTTGGAGTATGAACTCTGCTTGTTGTTTGTAACATGCAAGATATCCATTCTCTTCATTCATATATCTCAGTCCTTGTGCTAGAGGCAATCCATCGCTTACCCTTCCAACTATAGTTACCTTAACCATTTCCTTTGAGCTAAAACCAGCCTCTGAAAATTTTTCTTTTATAATTATCTCAAATAATGATTTGGTTCTCCTTTCTTAATGACTTAGATATAGATGGATTTATTTGCAAGGCCTTTTATAGAATGTGTGAGGTGAAGGAATGAGTCAGAGAACTTGGAAAATAAGTTATTCCTAGTGTGTGCAAAAGTAACCATTATGGATGGACAAAAGATAAGGGCGGCAAAACTTAATATGATAAACCCCTTAAGAAGAATATGCATTCCCCTTCTTCACTTTTTCCATCTTTTCAATTGTCATGGTACTCGTGGAAAATTGTTACATTTTCCCCCATTTTTTAGTGCAATGCGAGTATTGTGATTTGGGGAATTGATCATTCGTAACCATAAAAGATAAACTATCCGTTTTAAAATAAATTAAGAATAATATACCCTTACTATATTATAGTACTGTATATACTCAAATTTAGAAAAATATATAAATTCTTAATGCGATCGTAGTGCAATGTATCTTAAAATATTAAAGCATAAAAGCAACCACATGAATACATTTGAAATGTGTTTGATATAAAGAGTCGAGTAATGAAATTTTTAGTGAACAAATAGACACAGAATTTAGTTTTTAAAATAACTATTTCAGTGTTGAAAAATTATTAAAAGAAAGTATTATGATATTCCATTATCATATACAGGGATCACTTTTTCAGCTGTGTTTTGGTTTTCATTTTTATATACACATTTTTTCCCTAATTAATTTTCTGCAAACCTCTTCTTTTACGTCAGTATATTTTTTTTAGTTTATACATCTATTGTTTTATTTTATTTTGAAATGAAACTGCTCGTAAAATTAATTACTGAGAGATGAAATGAGTAAAACTTGAATACAGACACCTCTTTCATAGAACTATCATTATTATCATTTTTATTGTTATTATTATCTTAATTATTATTATGTAATGACAATAATAAATTGATAATAATAAATATAATAATAATAATAATGAATATTATTATTATAATCAATATCATTATTATTAATACTAGTATTTATATCATTATTAACAATCATCATGAGTAATTGTAAAGATAATAATAATAATCATCGATATGTTTATAATAGAGTTTGATTTTTGATTTAATCTTAATCATAGCCTATTACCTAACCTTCTCATCTTTTATGAAAAGTCATATTTTCATTTGATAATTTGAGAACCTTCCTATGTTTGTATTTGCTAAGATATTTTTATTAGGATGACATGTTTTGTCTTTTCCATTATTAATTGATTGAAAACCAAATATTTTGGGGGTTCCCACTTCCCACCATTGAATTAAATAAGATGTGCGACTCAAAAAATTTACTTTTTTAATATTTTTTATTATAAAACACTCTTAATTGAATTACATAAATTAATTTAAATAATCATGTTAGTTAATTTAATGAATTTATAAAATAAAATTATAATTTAATAATTTTATCTTTTTTATTTGTCATTAAATTTTCATGACAGGTGAAAAATTATTAATATTAATAAAAATGATAAATAATAATTAAAATTTAAAAAATCACCTAAAAACACATATTTGAATAATTTCTTAACGAAAATGCAAAATTAAAATGATTTTTTTTTATAAAAATTGTAAACTGCCTCGTATAAAACACTTCTAGTTCTTTCTAATTGTACTCTCTAAATAAAATATTGTCTAAAATGTTTAAACTTAAATACTATTTTCAGTAACATTTAGTTTTTTTTATAAAATTAATAAATTTATCTAATTTCTTTAACACGTGAAACTTTATTTATACTTTGTTTGATAAAAAAGAAATATGTAAGAAATAAAGTGAAGAAAATAAAAATAAAAAAAATAAAAATGAAAGAAATTGTTTGGCCAAAAAAAAATTAAAAAGAATAAAAATAAAAAAAATGAATCTCATCTTTTTATTTATTTATTTCTCTCTTCTCTTTTATATATATAATCAAATAATTAAATTTTTTTCCTTATTTCTCTTCATTTTATTTGTTTTTCTCCTACTAAAGGTGAATGAATAATAAGAAGAAGAGGATGAATGTTGAATGAGAGAAGGAAGTGCAGTCGGTATTCCTCTGGCTTTATTTATTTATTGTACCACATGCACCCATAAAATGTGAGGAGAAGAAGATTGCTTGTATATGAACCATGAAAGGAGAGTCGGCCCCACATTCATTCTTCAATTCGGATCCGGATTCTCTGACTTTAGAAAAATAGAGTTATGATAACTTAATACATTTCAACCGTTAAATGTATAAAAATAAATCAGATTGTGACACGTGTACAATATATATTTTAACTTAAATATACACGTGTCACAATCTGATCATTTATTACAAATCTAACGATTGAAATGTATTAAGTTACCCTAACTTTCCTTCCAATTCCTCCCAAGTGAGATGAAGGGACGTTGACTTTGGTTTGACTGTAGGGACAGTTCAGAACATAAATGCAGAACCTCGTCAACACCGTCACTCTTCACCTTAACCAATAAGCATTCATTAGATTTGACGGGAGGGATTCCAAATTCCAATTCCATTCACCACACCACACTGACACTCTCTCTTCTCTTGTCTTTTCTTCCACCGCTCCGAAATCCTCTTCTCCTACCCTTTTGGCCTTTTCCTCTCCTCCTTCAACATTCCACTTACAAGAGTATGTATGTTTTCTTTCTCATGAATCTTCCTCTGTAGCCGCCCACTTGTCCTATTATCATATCAACACATGCATTTACATTTACTTCTGCAACACTCTTCCTCTCTCATCACTCATCACTCATGACATGTCCACACCCTCAGCCTCACCCAACCTTTTTCTTTAAACCACTTACCAAAACCACCTTATTAACTCCTGTTAAGACTAGATGGGTAAAGCACCTTGCTGTGAGAAACATGGAGTCAGAAGGGGAGCTTGGACCCCTGAAGAAGACCAAGCTTTGGTTCACTACATCAACAAACATGGCCATGGAAGTTGGCGTACTCTCCCCAAGCATGCAGGTCACTTTCTTCTTCTCTGCTTTTTCTATGATGCTTTTCTCTATTTTTTATTTCATGCAAAATTTTCATCATGGGGAAGGGCATGGCTTATTTGCTTATTACTAAAGTTTTCATTTTTCTTCAGAAAAATCTTGGCTTGCTCTTGAAGTAAGCCTGCTTGTTGCTTTTAGGTGTGTTCTACCAGCAATTTCTGCATGTTACAGTACTATTTTGGGGGGTTAAGTATAGTTTCTTTATAGACATGGACTATTCACTATTGAGAACGTTAAATTGTTAATTTGATTGTGCTCTCATTCAATACTTGCTGTAACCAAATTTGTTTTGCCATATGCATGTAGCTTTATTTTGATCCAATTGTACTTTCCCCTTTGGAAAAATATTTTGGAAGTTTGTGTTGCATGGGGGATTTGATGTGCTATGGAAAGGGTGAAAATTTGAGTCATTGTGAAGAAGGTGAAGACGTAGATATAAAGATGGTGAAATTATTCAATGAAAAATCACCTAATTAATGTGTTTTTTCAACTAGGTCTTCTACGATGTGGGAAAAGTTGTCGGCTTCGGTGGATAAACTATCTTCGCCCTGGCATCAAGCGTGGCCCATTTACTAATGAAGAAGAAAGTACAATTGTTCAACTTCATGGCATGCTTGGCAACAGGTACCACGGTGCTCCATTTGCTTATTCTCTTCAACATGCTTATACAGAAACCCTTGGTCCTGAAGCCTTATTTTACTTATAAGCTGCATAGTATATATGTTGCATGCTTCAAAAAAATGTGTCACAACCATTGGATATTGTTTCAGTTGGAGTTTTGTTGCCATTTCTCTCGATCCTTTTTGTTGACAAGGACTCTTATGTGCTATTTAAAACTTACCTTAGACTTATATACTGTAGTCTCGTGCTTGTACTTTGATATTTGTTTGAATTATCTATACTTGTGATATTATATTCACTTAGGTGGGCTGCTATAGCATCCCAACTACCTGGAAGAACAGACAATGAGATTAAGAATTATTGGAACACCCATTTAAAGAAGCGCCTCGTTGGACCATCTCATTCCCTAAGAGCAAAGCAACCATGTGTCATTCCTGATTTAACGATTATCAAGTCCGAATCTCCTTCAACGCGTCACATGGTACAATGGGAAAGTGTGAGAGTTGAGGCAGAGGCAAGGTTGTCAATGGAATCCTTGTTGATTAATTCATGGCCAACGACTAAAACATGCTCTGATCACTTTCTTCAACTTTGGCATTCTGAGGTTGGACAGTCATTTCGCATGCTCAAGGGAAAGGAAGGAGTACTGTGTCAAAGTTGTGTTTCACAACCATCATCCTCATCAAAATTGGAGTCTTGTTCAGATGAGTCATTGCAGGTGAAAAACACTGGAACCAGTAGTTGCAATCCAAATCTTGAGGATGTGAACATAATTCATGAACAAACAAGTAGCTACAAACCAAAGCTTGATGATGACACAGCAGGGTCAGAGTCTGGCAATTATGAATTTCTTGATATTTCTGATTCTTCACTAAAGCACCTACTAGATATGCATGATAGTGATATAGGATTCTTGGGACAGAATGGCAATTTCCTAAATCTCCTCGATGGTACATATGACTAAGATAGTCCTCTTTCATATTTCTTCAGAGAAAGGCAACCAATACTTTGAACTGATGGGAAATTTTTCTTTGCCTTTTTATGATTTCTTCATTTTTGTAAATGCACTCACCATGTAGCTGGCTTTCAATAGTTGGTCTAGAGTGGGAAAAATGGTAGATATATTGATAGTTGCTAGAGTTTAAGTTTATCTTCCACTCGATGACAGTAGCTAAAAGTTAAAATATTAATGGATTCAGAATTAATGATATTGTTCTTGTCCTTCAACTGCTACTGCATGTGTATATGCTGGCTCCATCTGTTGGTGATGTGTTCTTTGGTTCACAAAAGTACAGGGTTGAAATGTCACGAGTAGGAATTATAGTATTGACATGCTAATAATTAACATGAAACAGCCTGAACTTCAAATCCTCATTCTGTTATGCTGAGATGAGGCTTACTGAAGAGAGTCAAGAGACTACAAAATTCAAGGGAGGTAATTTATTATCTAGTTGAGTAAAGATTTAAGAATATTACACCTTTTGAATAATTATTTAATTAGAAAACAAGTTAGTCTAAACTAAATTTGCTTTAAAGAGAGTAAATGTGTTTTAGTTTTGAATTTTAATAAATCACATTACGTTTTAAATGTCGTGAATTATTTACTCTAATACAAGAATACTTGAGTAAAATAATCTAATTCTTAAGCAATGTCCTAATTTGATAAATTGTCCAATAACCTAACTTTTAAGTTTGTTGTTAACAAAGAACTAACGGGGTGATAAATCGACTTAAGATCAAAATTAAATCCGCTGAAAATTTGTTCTTCTGGATCATGAACAGCCGTATGTCAACCATCAAATTGTCCAACAAGGCTAAAATACTTGGAAAAATTGCCCGTTTGGGACTGAGAAGGGTTAGTGGCCTAATGCTACAAGAAATTCGAATTACCCTAATTGAATAATTCGATTTATTTTTATACCCAGTAATTGTTATATATACACACCAACATATCACTGCACACGACATAATAAATGAATATGAACTACAACACACTAAAAGACAACCAAACCACACTGTACTGACTTGAACTATCAAAGAAAATACCTAATAGTAACAAATAATAATAATAATAATACAACGTTATTGTTAATGAGACTAGTTAGAAACAACCAAAGAGCTTCTTAGGGGCTGTTCCAGTTGCTCTGTACTTTGCAGCTGTCTCCTCTGCCTTCAGGAAATCTTCTCCTTTTTTGGCCTCAATAAATGCCCTCTTTTCTTCGGCTTCTCGGTGGATCGTAGCTATTTGGTTTTTCAATTTCTCTCCATATTCAGCCTTTTTCTTCTCCAGTTGTTCCTGCTCACACACACAGTCAAAAGTCATTTTTCCTCCCCATCTTTGCCAAGTTCAGTATGTCGTCTGTCAGCCATGAAAATTGGAAATTTTATTTTGCTTTTGACTAGGCATGTTAGAGTTTGATGCATTTTTTTCTTTTGACTCTAAATTTTTCACACCAATTCTTATTTCTTACCTCTACATTAGTTTTCTTCCTCTCCTTTTTCTTAGTATGTCTCTCTATCCTAATGTGTACACTCATTGGGGTGTGCTAAATTTTCATTTTAAGTTGACTTTGGAATAAACATTTATAATAGAATATGCAGATTGCATTCTAATAAAAAAAAAATATTTGGGGAGCTGAAATATTAATGTAAGACCACTTTTCTGAATAAGGAACTGAAATAATTATTCTATATTTTTATTGTAAGAAATGATTGATCCACCCAACCCTCTTATTCTTCAGAGAGAGCGAGTAGAAATAAGTTTGTTCGTTGCAATTCAAAAGATAAAGACAGATACAATACCAGTTCCCAAAAGAATGGACACAATTTTAAACAGTACTCACTAAACAAGTTACAAAATATAATGAGTTCTTACTTCAGTCTTTCTCAATTCAGCCTCCGTAGCAGCTTTCTTACTATTCTCCCATGCTGAAATGGCTGAAAGCTTTTTGTGAGCTCTGCTCATCAAATTCATTTAAATTAGTAAAAGAAAAGAACTAGTTAAATAACATCAAAGAATCAAAAATCCTGATAAAATAATATGAATATCTAATGTTAACATCAAATACATGGTTCAAGCTCTTACTTGTTCTCTGCTTTGGACTTTTCACTTTCTTCCCATGCTTTGATTAGTGACAGCCTCTTCTCGGTTGCTACTCTTGCAAGGACCGCATCTGAATAAGAATGAGGGAACATAGGAATTAGGATGTGACGTCAGCATATGAAATGCATAAAGGGATATCAAGTTTCACAAAGACGAACAAACACACCTCGGTTCACAGATTCCTCAATTGGCTTCTCTTCAGCAACTTCATTAGTCTCTGACAATAACCAAATTCACAACAATAACACAAAAATTACTTCGTTTGAGCCTTTATAGCAATAATCATGATGATTAAATAGGAAAATGAATTGTGGTGAACTGAAGAGACAAGAGTGACTTAAAAAAATATGAACACGAAAAATGAAAATATTAAATATATCAAGTGATTTGTTTACACACACATATGTAGGCAGAGTGATCAATTTGACTTATATTAAAATCATCATGTTACTCAGAAATTTAAAACTGGTCACCTTATCTGGTTTTGGTAACAGATACTAATTAAAAAGATAAGAGAAATGCAAATTAAGGTGAGTTACAGTGTCATACTAGTCTGAACTATGGCAAGAGCTTTGGAGTCATCAACAGGCTTGTTATCCGGATGAGAGGGTTGTGGAATTACAGATTTCTCCTCAGCCACATCCTCCTTTAGAGAGTCATCAACAACATGTTCAGGTTCAGGTTCAGGTTCAGGTTCAGGATGAGAAGGAGTACTCTCAGTTTCCTTTTTGGATTGCTCCTCTGTCATTTTAATTTCCTAAGGGTGATGGGAGAAAGTTGTGAGTTATTAAGGAGTGTTAAAAATAAAATATATATGTATATTGATATATATGTAGTAGAGACTAGAGAGGTTGAGGAAGAAGGACAAAGTTGGTTGGGATATTATAGTTGAAGGAAGGTAACTTAACTCAAATTCCAAAGCCTTAGCTTAGTTGGGTGGGTGTGGTAGGTACTTGTGTCCTCGTATGAGTTGGCACAGCACACCAATGGCGACACCACCTGCACAGATTATTAATAAATAAAATAAAATTTTCATTTTAATTTACTTGTTTTATATAAATGAATTTTACACAAATATGTTTTCATTTCTTAGAGTTCCTTTAATTATTTAGATTATACTTAGCATAAGTATTTTTTCTTATCATCTCGAAACATATTCTAATATAATCATCTCTTTAGCCTGTGACTCATTAATGCAAAATAATTTTTAATCGTTAGTTTTGAAGTATGGACCATATTTATGAAGAAAAAAAATTGTTATTACCTTCTAAACTGATCCCAGTTTTGACTAGGCAATAGGCATGTTAGAGTTTGATACATTCAACGTGTTTATGACGAAGTTGCGGCAGTGCCGAAACGGCACTGCATTTAGTGCCTTACGACTCATAAACATTGAAATTTGGATTTATTCATTAAGATATTTTATTATTTAATTAACTATTTCGTATTTACTATTTAGTATTATATTCGCTTCAACATTTCGTTTAAAATTTTCTATTTCATTTTTTTTAACTTCTAGTGTCAATATGAATATTTTTAAATGTTTTAGTTCTTTTTAATTTGTTAACTATATAAAATTATTATAAAATAGAAACATTATAGAATCTTTATGCATAGGAACAAAAATTATATAAAAAAATTGGTACAAGTAAAAAGACTGAATAATTGATTTAAATTATATTTTATTTATATTCATTTTTTTTAGTGTGATTCACGGATATCCTTTGTCACTTGTTTCTTGATGGCAAAAGAATCTTCATGTGGGACCTAACTTGTAAAGATGATAATTATCTCTTGCAACCAATCATATTACCAATCACATTGGTTAATTTTCTCAATTTGTAAAACCATCACGGCTTTCCATAATGCATAGTAAAGTTATTTTCCTTGTAGCTGAACATGTTTTTGATAATATTTTTCATAGTTGATTCACTGTTGTTACTATATACTGTATATTCTATAATATATATATATATATATATATGTGTATATATATATATATATATGAATTTTATTGAAATTTAATTTTATTCGAACCCACTAATGCTTGTCATGATTTGGTTTTTTTGTCATTTGCTTTTACATTTTTTTTTTCATACGAAGTAGCTGAATAGTGTGGGTCTCTTACTATATACTGTATGAGAGAAAAAAAAATCATGACTAACCATTGCGTGCACGTAAGCATAACGAATTTGTGGCCACTGAACAAATACATTAAATACGTTAATAACTTTTAGTCACTCTTCTTTTAATGGATTTAGAATCTCTTTAACGTTAATCTATTCGAATCGCCCGAATCTTACTAATATGGCATGTGACATGTAAAATATATATATATTTTTAAAAATATTTATAAATGAGACTATAATGATATATTTTACTTTTAACATCACTTGTAATAATTTATCTTAATTATTATACTTAAAGGTTCACTTATCACAAATAACAAAAATTATTTAAATATTTATATCATCTAGACATATGTGTACGTATACACACATACATACATATATATATATATATATATAGAGAGACATACATATGTTATAAACTTTAAGTTGTTGGTCAATATAAGACCTCCAAAAGTATCATCTAATCATGAGCCGTCAACATGGCTTCACACGACATTCATCTCTAACTAATTTTACTTTGCTTTCATGAAAACATGAAAACACTAATATCACAGTCTAACTACCAAAAAAACATGCAAAGATAATATATATATATATATATATATATATATATATATTTATTTATTTATTTACTAGCTAGAACGGTTCTATTTTAAAATGTGGAAACTATATATATATATATATATATATATATATGTGTGTGTGTGTGTGTGTGTGTGTGTGTGTGTATTAGTGAAAATATAAACTTTAGGTTGTCGGTCAAACAATGTTTATACAAGATCTCTTCAAAAGTACCATCTAGCTACATGCCATCAACATGGCTCCACACAACATCATCGCCTCTGACTAACTCTGCTCCACTCTTATAAAAATATGATTATCCCAATCTAGCCACTAGAAAAACATGTAAAGGTAAGTTAGATTTAAAAAAAGAATGTAGGTGTAGGAAGAAAATATTTATACTACCATCAACATCAATGCGCAAACCAACAATAACACCACATGATTCATAAAATTCACCAATTCAACAAAACACCAACATGTTTAAAAGATAATACTCAAGCAATTCAAACATTCACCACCATTATACCATACAACAAGGTATTCATCTAGTGCATATGAACAAAATCAACTCACGCCACATCACATGCACATATTACAACTAATATGTTGTCATGCATTCATTTGCAGAAATCCCCTAACACACCTAAGTTGTTTAAGTAGCTTAATCATATCGAATCAACTGAGCATTTTCACGCCTCATGGGCCTGTTAGATCGACAACTAAATTAAGATACCAATCCTTATCCTCTAATTTCCTGGATGTTGTCACTTTTTGTCCTACCTATGTCTCGTGCCATTAAACTCGTGCTTGACGTGGCTAAGGTAGAGAGCCCTTAGGACCTTACACTCAACCCCATTTTAGGCAAGGAGCCTCTGTCTAACTCATGCTCGACATCACCTCACTAGCACCTGGTGTTGTCTAGGCAGAAAGTCTCTACCTTGGTCACGCTTGGCGCCACCCATATGGGGTCCAAGGTCACCAAGTTAGAGGCTTTTCTAATGCTCTCACACTCGATGTCATCCCAACCTGAAATGAGTCTCTCTCCTCACATTTGACACCATTGATCCTGCCCTTAGGTTGAATCGAGATAGAGGTCTCTGGTTGAAACCGTGTCCGACACCATGAAGGCATGCCTCATGCAACATCATAAATCTTCAATTTCAGAACACAAATTGTCCCAAACCATCTGAAAAATAGAAACCTCTGAATATGCAATGCATCAAACCACACATATACATCAATAACAATTGATTTCACGCCAAAAATCTAGCATGCAATAGCAAATGTGATCAAACCATCAAATTTGTACCATATGCTCAACACCAAAACCCACCCCCTTCATCCAATCATTCGAAAATCCAACACATGCACACATTATGGGTCAAAGAAAGCAACATACAACTCATCCATTCAACCATAAATTATTTTAGCTTTCCTTACTTCAACTTCAAGCAACTAAAAACGAAGAAGAGGAAGAAAGGGAAAG